GCCATGTTTTTCTTTCTATTTGCCTATAGAATTACACTGTACAAATAATTATTAGACTCTAATAATAAAGCAATAATTGGAATCTGATATATTTGAGGCGCATTACAATTTTTTGTGTTACAATAGTACATACAGCATTAAGGTGCCAGGATTGAACATACATGTGATAAGAACTTATTCAGAATATATAAGGTGTGTGTATTGGTTGATTTTTGAAGGCGCGTGTCCATTCTAAATGTCAGCAAGTTGTATTTCAGTATAATCAGCATCATTTGCAACCATTTTTGGGACCATATCACTTTCTTTTGTCATCTTATTGCTGTCTAAAGAAAGAACAGCCAAGTGGTTGTTCAGTGATCACTGTCATTATAGAATTGCATGCCAACTAAAGTATCATTTACTCTGGATATATTTCCATGTGGTGAGAAATAAGTGCTGTTTCTCAATGCTGATGCATCACTAATCCATGCATTTAATACACGATAAAATTAAGTTGCTAAGCCACTCAGAGTCACTTTGAACTGCAAGATGGGCAGCAAATAAATTTGGTAATAGTAAGTGGGAGTTTTTGGAAAATCAGAGTGATAGTGAGAAAACCTGATATAGGACATCCAGCTTCCTGACAGATTATAACTGTAGGCCAGAAGGTATTAAATAGGAAATGTCTGCAAGCACCTTAGTGAGCCTAATTCCACAAATATAGTCATTATCACAGCTTTCACAATCCTGTAATTCCTACAAGACCTCAAATGATGATCTAGAACTTTCAGAGAGTGTGCAACTCCATTCAGAACTGGATAAACAGCTAAAATATATTTTCCCATCAACAGTTTCTGTCTTGTCTGTGTTAAGTTGCAGATCATTTTCATCCATCCTAAAACTACTCTAAACTTCTGGAACTCTCTGATTTCCCAGGGATTAGTGGATGTTTCTTAAAGATAAAGATGTGTTTCAATAACAAATTTGTGACACTTTAATTTGGGTAGAAAAGCTTTCTTTAGCAATGTTATCTCTAATATCAGCTGAATACATTCTGCTTTTAGAAACATAGCATCATAAGGCTGAAAGGGACCTCGGAGGTCTTCTGGTCAAGCCCCTGCTCAAGGCAGGAGCCTTATATCTTTAAAGCAGACATGTCAAACTTGTGATGTCACGTGACGTTGCACAACATATCAGGACAGTTTTGCCATTGCCGGCAATGGGGTGGGTGCGGCTTCTGGAGGACGCATCCGGCCCGCAGGCTGGCAGTTTGACACCCCTGCTTTAAAGCCTTATATTTTAATTGAAGTTCTGAGATGCAAAAATCTAAAGCCAGCATAACATTGTGCCTCCTGATTTTCCCTTATGCATTCATTGCCATAAATACCCATGAGTGTATTTATGGGTGTATGGGGTGGTCAGGGAGGGGTAGTACCTCTGGTGTAGGGCATGTCATGCCTCTTTAGGGCAGCTCGTACACCTTTGATCCCCATCTGACACTCAGCTCTCACCTGTGGCTCCTAGTAGCTGTAACATGCGCAGGTGAGAGCTGAGTGTCAGGTGGGGACCAAAGGTGTACGAGCTGCCCTAGAGAGGCATGACAGCCCTACACCAGAGGTACCTGGTCATTACTAATACCATCTTTCACCTGCCTATTCGTAAAAAGATGTCCTGGATGCACTGGCATCTCATTGATTATGTCATTGTGCGGAGGAAAGACATGCAAGATGTAAGAGTAACTAAGGCTATGCCGAGTGCTGACTGCTGGACTGATCATAGACTCAATCATTTCCAAGTTAAATATTCACATCAAGCCAAAGAATCGTCCACAGGGAAACAGAGTTGTGATGAAAAAGATCAACGTCAGTACACTGGAAAACCCAGACGTAGTAGCTTCATTAGTAAAAGATCTTGACAATCAACTCCTGGAGCTGCAAATACAGGAAAATGCTGAGAAGGACTGGGAATGTTTCTGGGACATCTTGCACTCTTCTGCACTTAAGGTTCTTGGACCTTCATATAGGAAGCAGCAGGACTGGTTTGATGAAAACGATGAAGAGATTAAGGCCTTGCTTGCTGAAAAACACTATCTCTACCGTGCTCATCAGAATGACCCATCGTCAACTGCAAAGAAAAATGCTTTTATAAACACTCGCAGGATTGTACAGAGCAAGCTCCGCAAGATGCAGGACTCCTGGTTGAGTGCCAAAGCAGATGAAATCCAGAGGTTTGCTGATAGAGGCGATGTCAAACAGTTCTATGAAGCCCTGAGATCCCTGTATGGACCTCAGCCCTTAGGAAGTTCTCCTTTACTGGATTTGAGTGGTGCAACTCTTATCACTGAGAAGACCCTGATTTTACAGCGTTGGCTGAGCATTTCCACTGAACTGCCCATCTACCATCAATAATGAGGCGATTGAAAGGATATCCCAGGTAGATATCAACTATAGTCTGGATGCCCTACCATCGGAGGCTGAAACCTCACAGGCCATCAGTCAGTGTTCCAGTGGTAAGGCGCCAGGATCTGACGCAATCCCAGCGGGAGTCTATAAGGCTGGTGGTGCTGTGCTTGTTGAAAAACTTACCCAGTTGTTCCGATCTTTCTGGAAACAAGGTTCCATTCCCCAGGAACTGAAAGACGTGTCCATCGTGCATCTCTACAAGAGGAAAGGAAATCGACAAGTCTGCGATAATTATAGAGGAATATCACTTGTCTCTGTCGCAGGCAAGATCTTTGCACGAGTGTTGCTAAATCACCTGATTGACCATCTGGAACAGGGTATACTACCTGAGACACAGTGTGGTTTCTGCAAAGAGCGTGGCACGGTGGACGTGATCTTTGCAGCTCAACAGCTTCAGGAGAAATGTCAGGAGCAGACTCGTGAACTATACACCACCTTTGTGGATCTCACCAAGGCTTTCGACACAGTCGTGAAGGATTATGGCGCATTATGTCGAAGTTTGGGTGCCCTGACAGATTTATTCTGATGGTATGGCAGTTCCATGATGGCATGGCGGCTCGTGTTCTGAGTAATGGTGGAGCCTCAGAGGCCTTCCCTGTCACTAATGGCGTTAAGCAAGACTGCGTGCTGGCACCAACCCTGTTCAGCATGATGTTTTCAGCCATGCTGTCAGACGCCTTTCAGAACAGCTCAGTGGGAATTAATCTGAGGTACAAAACCGATGGGAAATTGTTCAACCTGCGAAGATGTCAGGCTGTCACCAAGGTAAAGGAGGCTGTGCTATGAGATCTCCTCTTTGCTGATGACTGTGCTCTTAATGCAGGATCGGAGCAGGAAATGCAAGCCAGCATGGACAAATTCGCAGCCGCTTGTGACAACTTTGGCCTCTTCATCAACACAAAGAAAACTGAAGTGATGTACCAGCCAGTTCCAAAAGCCCAATATCAAGAGCCTACCATCACAGTAAAGGGACAAAAGCTGCAAGCAGTGGACCAGTTTATGTATCTTGGTAGTACCCTCTCCCGTGCAGTGACAATTGACAACGAGGTCAACTGTAGAATTGCCAAGGCAAGTTCTGCATTTGGCAGATTGCGGACTAATGTGTGGGACCGCCATGGAATAAGCCTTGCTACTAAGCTTAAAGTTTACCAGGCAGCAGTGCTAACTACCCTGATGTATGCTAGTGAGACCTGGACAGTGTACAGGAGGCATGTAAGGCAACTGAACTACTTCCACATGACTTGCCTTCGTAGAATTCTGAGGATCCAGTGGCAAGATAAGATACCAGACACAGATGTCCTCTCCAGACCAGGCTTATCATCAGTTTACACTCTGTTGATGAAAGCCCAGATGCGCTGGGCAGGCCATGTTGTAAGGATGCCAGATCATCACATCCTTAAACAGCTCTTCTATGGTGAGCTGTCTCAAGGAAAACGATCGCACGGGGGACAAAAGAAGCGATACCAAGACACGCTAAAAGCCTCTCAAGTCCCTGGATATTAACACCATCTCTTGGGAACTTCTGGTGCATGATCGATCGACATGGCGCACCTTGGTGTACCAGGGTTGCCAGACATATGAACACAGAAGGACAATCTTGGCACAAGAGAAGCGAGCACTCCGCAAAGCCAGAGCTGTAAATGATGAAGTAACAGTGTCTACATTTCTTTGTTCAGTATGTGGTAGAACATTCCATGCTAACATCGGTCTTATCAGCCACCTACGGACACATCGTTATGGCCCATAATCTACAAGATGTCAAGGTCCTCATCAAAATCGATGGACGAACAACACCCATGAGTGTGACTAAGTTGGTTCATTATGAGATTGCTAAATAGTAATTTTAAATGAAGATCAGTCCCAGTCGGGTTCCCATTAATGCTATGTCTGCTCACCCTTGTTTCCAGGTCCTATCGGGTAATTTTTTTTTTTTACAAAAAGACTGACATGCATAACACCAACACCCAAAAATGCATAACACCAACTTTCTTTCTAAGAAAATAAGCCTTTGAAGTGTATATAATTACTTGGTAAGTCTCATTGGATCTATTGGATTTTTGTAAAGAGTAGCTAGTAAAGAAGTAGTAGTAGTACACAATTTATTTGATGGTGTGCACCCATACTTTGTTTCCTTGGAGACATTTAATATTGTACTCTACTCTTCATACAACATTGCATGACATAGTTAAGCTTCATATGCAAGTTCTGTACTGGAGAAGTGAGCGAATCATTATCAGTTGAACAAAACCTAATGGCTTTAGATTCAGTTTTATTCCTAATCTTCGGTTAATAGAGACGCTATTTACTTCTGTTTAAAATATTTAAAAGAATCCCACTTTTAGCTTCGCAGTTGCAGCTGTTAGACTATAATTTGCATTTTTTTCAGCAACCAAACTGGTAAAGTATATTTCTATCTCAGTGGAATATAATGCTGAATTGCTTATTTTAAGAAGGTTATATTACTCCTGAAATATTTCATGGTATCTGTTGCATGATTATGGAGAATATTGGCATTTCAAGAAAAACATCACCATGTTTTCCTGTCTCTTTTTCTTCTAGGTGGCTTGTTATAGCAGTTGGTTTAGTCAGAGCATACCTTGCAACGGGTAGCTATCATAATCTCTATCATTCAATAGAAAAGCCTTTGAAATTCTTCCAGACTGGAGCTTTGCTTGAGGTAGGTGTATCACAGGGAAAGTCTTCTTATCTTAGGCCAGTGATGGCAAATCTATGATATATATGTCACAGATGACATGCATGGCATACCATTTTTGGTGACATTCCACACTTCAGGAACCCTCTGGAAGTTGTGCAAGAAGGCCTTGCTCTTGTGCAGCCCGAGACATTCAAAAATTGCACATTCCCATTTTCATACAATTTCCTGAGGTTCCAGAGGCCTCAGAACCATCCCACATGACTTTCAAAGGGTCTGGAAAAACCTGCAAACCCTCTGAAACTCACATCACTCCGAGGAGTCCCAAAATCACACAACTTTCAGAGCATCCAGAGATGAGAATCCAGAGGAGAGGAGAGTCCAAAGAGGAGGTCCGGAGAAGCCTTTTTTTCTCTAGGATGCATGTGTGACATGCCAGCAGAGTTAAGGTAGGCATTTTCTGATTTTTTTTGTCACGTCAAGCTCAAAAGATTTGCCATCACTGCCCTAGGCACTTTGACTTCTTCCTATATTGTAATGCTGAATTACTTACTATCCCTTTTAAATGCATCATATGTTTTTGCAAGGTTTATTCTGATATATACATATATATATATATATATATATATATATACACACATATATATATACACACATATACATATACATACATACATACATATATTTTCTAAGGTTTTCACGGGTGTTTGTATGTAGGTCTTTGATTATTCGGGTTTTCTCCCGCATCAAATTGGAAGTGTCTTGCTGACGTTTCGACGAAGTCCCATTCATTATCTTCAGGCTGGTGTTTTCGGCTTCGTGCTCCTAAAAGCATGAAGCCGAAAACACCAGCCTGAAGATGACGAATGGGACTTCGTCGAAACGTCACCAAGACACTTCCAATTTGACGCAGGAGAAAACCCGAATAACCAAAGACCTACATGTATGTATGTATGTACCGTAAATGCCGGTGTACAAGGCGACCTGGCGTATAAGACGATCCCCGTCTTTATAGCCGGGCCGCATTCCTAGAATGTCGTCTTATACGCCGGAAACTACCAGTATTTCCGGCGTATAAGACGACTCGGCGTATAAGATGATCCCCGTCTTTGGCACTGATTTCAGCGCTCGCGGAAGTCGCCTTATACGCCGGCATTTACGATATGTATGTATGTAGATAGATAGATAGATAGATAGATATATGTGTGTGTATGTGTGTATATATATACACACACACACACACACATACTACGATACATTACAAATTCAGATTTCTTTTTGCTGACAAGAGTTAAAGATTTAAGTGAGACACTAGTATAGCTATTTCGGACTCATTTGTCCTCATCAGCTCATTTGTCCTCATCAGTCCTCAGGGGTGTGGCTAGCTGATGAGGACATATGAGTCCGAAATACTAGTCTTCCACTTAAATCTTTAAATCTTGTCAGCAAAAACAAATCTGAATATATATATATACACACAGAGAGAGAGAGAGGGAGAGGGAGGGAGGGAGGGAGGGAGGGAAAATTAAATTCTTTTTAAGGGTGGTTCTGATATCCCAGCAGCAGCTCATATAACTGCCATCCTGTGACTCACTTCTCTTTCCAATAATGCATAGAGAAGAGGGATTGCTTTATTTCATGGAAGAAGTTCTGAACTGACAATGATCATTGTCTCATGAACATACCCAAGGATATGAGTTTTATCTCTTTTAAGTCACTGGGACGCTCAAACATTAAGGATAGTTTTCTGAAAGGTGATTTCTCAGCATAGCAGAATTATAGGTGAGGAATTGATAGTGATTGATGAGATGAAAATTGCACAAAATTATTGAACAGATAAGAGATACATGTTATGATAACAATGACTGGTGGAGATACTATTTAAGAACAATGTTCTTAGTCATAATCCATGATGCTGTTGTAGTAAAGAAAATCGTATTACAAATGTGAGAAGCCTAGTCTTAATTATTTCTCTTTTTTTTAGATCGTGCACTGTGCAGTAGGTAAGTTTTTTAATTAAATATTCAATATCTCTATTTTGGAAGGCAAGGAGGGAATTCTGCTCATATTCTTAAGGAATAGCAACTGTATATAGCATGATATACATCCAGTTTCTCAGCATTTGGTTTTCCTTATTTCTGTTTTAAACATGCATTTGAATATGCAAATCTGTTTTCTCAAAAGTAAGAATTACATGTTCAGACTAACAAAAGTTGTTTCAACTTGTATAGAGATGGTGTTAATTATTTAATAATAAAAATTGGCCTACTTCTGTTTTATACTGCTTATGGAACAACTGTTAGATATAAACATTAAGGTTTGCCAAAATAAAATGCAACATTTTGAAGCAATTTACTTACAAGTTAAAAATTTGATCCAATTTTCTGTTCTTCTGGTCTCCTTACAGGAAAGTCAAAGTAAAACACAAACACACTTTTTTTTTTAATAGTTGACCTGGCTGCTAGAAAGCAAATGAACATGCTATTTCAATTGCCAGGCTAGAAATAGATGTTGTTGCAATTAAGTGGAAAAAGTCTTTTTGCAGAACCTCTGAAGAGAGATAATTGTCCTGGGACAAACAGGCAACAAGGATGGAGACCAGTCAGATGGGGAATCCAAAGGAGAAAGAGTTAAGGTCAGGATAGTCACAAGCAAGAGCTGAGTTTTAACTAAGTTGTCCCCAGCATTGTCGAAAGAGAAGGATGGCCATTAATTAGCCATGCTGAATCTCTGCCTAGTCCACAACTGACACTCACTGGATAGCAATCTGCTGTCTTCTTGGATCCCCCCTCCCCCCATGCCTTTTGGCCAGTCTCAAATTTGTGTAGTTCTGGGCTGGATCTTCATGAAGGACCTCTGCTCAGGCCAAGGGGCTGAAATATCTGAGTCTGTTATGATCAGGGAAAATAGTTGAGGGGTCCTGTGAATTTGCAGAGTCTATCAGAACAAGTGGGCTTGCTGACTCCGGTACTGCTGGAATCTCCAGCAAAGAGATTGCTGCCATAGATGCATTTTCCCTATCCTGTACTGAAGATGGGTTCCTTAGCAGGGTCAACACTTTCCTGGTTTCTAATAAGGCAATCATACCATTCAGGTGGGGAAAAAAAAATTGGGTCTGGCAGAGGAGACTGGATCACTCACTATCTTGTATATGTATGTGTTAGATTTATATAGCACCTCCTGTAGCCCATGTTACCAGATGTGCAGGAAGAGCAACACCTAGCATAGTTATTATTATTATTTGTTATATAAAGACAAACTTTCTACATTTATGCATGTAATAACTCAGTGACAAAATCTAAAACAAAATTTGATTATGTTGATTGAGAGAAATACAATTGAATTAGAAATAGTGCTTTATGTATGCACAAATGTTTACAGCTGAGAACTTATATCACTTTACTAGTGTTAAATTACATTATAGAAATACATGAATTTTACACATGAAAAATCTTTCATTTCCTCTTCCAGAGTTATTAATTAGCTAGTGCTATTCAGACATTTCAGTGGGAATGTTTGGATTTTAATTATAGTCCCTAAACAATCATTGATGTCATGGAAATAAAATTACTGGGAAAAAATATATTTTTTCTTCGTATGTCATAAGCAGTTGAATATTCACTAGCCATTTATTCAGATATGACATTGTCCCTTTCTATCTGAGATAAGTGCTGTTGCATAAATAAGAGTTTACTGTTCAACAAAAAATGTCATTTGAAAATACCATTGTTGTAATTGTCTTACTGGGTGATTGTTTCCTTCTGTGCTTGGCACCAGCATCTAGGAATCTCATATAAGTATGTTATGTGGAACATAATGTCTTCTGTTGTTTTAGCTCTGGCATCTGATAATCAGAAGGAAAACTAGTCATGTGTTTATCAGATTTATTACTTGAAAATCATAGTTTGGCATATTTTGAGATCAAGCTATAGCAAACCTTGTGTCTTCATCTCTGATCCAAAATTCACCCATGAAAGAAATTTTGAAACAATAATAAAATAATATTTACCAATATTTTAGTATTAAAACATTAAAATTAATTTCATAAAACTGTCTCTTTCCAAATCAGATTACTATTAAGAGGTAGGTGGATAGTTTAGGACAGGGGTGTTTAACTGTCGGCCCATGGGCCAGATGTGTCATGCTGGAACTGCGCACACCCCATTGCTAGCAATGGGAAAAAAGTCAACAATATGTCGTGACACATCACGTGATGTTGCGAGTTTGACACCCCTGGTTTAGGAGCTCAAAAATGTATTAAATCTAAATTGTCTTTACAGGGATTGTTCCTTCCTCTGTTGTTTTGACTGCTTTCCAAATCATGTCAAGAGTTTTTCTGACATGGGGCATAGCCCACAGTGTAAAAGAGGTGAGTTGAGAGTGAACTATTTTATTCATCCTTTATCATGAAGCTGCTATTTTTGTTCTCTGTGAACATAATCTCTTTTGCTGATATCAAATGTGCATGTAGACATGCGGTAAACAAATAACCTTTTCAATACTGTTGGTTTAAATGTCATATTTCAACACCTTGGACATGTAATTTAGATTTAGAATACTTTTTGGTGGACATTATTTTGTTCCCATTTAATATATGTCAAGTCAGATTCAGTAGGCTTGAAAAGAACTAGGTATCATTATCCGACTCATTGTTTGGAAAGGACAATCAACATTCACATGAACACTTACCTTTTTTACTTCATTGGTTTCATTCACTGCATTCAATTTTTCATAAACCAAAGTTGTTATTATTTATTCAATTTGTATGGCCAGAAACCTTTCTAAGTGACTCTGAGCAGCTCCCAGTAAAAAATTTATATAAAGGAAAAATATCTTTTTAAGTACTGTAACTTAGTTTACAATTTCCAGGTAGCATGGCTAGCAAGTCTGCTGGAAGAATTGAGAGTGGATCTGTTTTTCGAAACCCTTAAGCAACTTTAATGTAGATGTCATTGGAATACACTATTGTAGTACTAATATAACTTAAACATATGATTAGAAATAATTCCAGTATCTTAATGATGGCATAGAAAGAACTCGATTGTAGAATACAAACATTCAAAATTAAAATTATAGCTGTAGTAGAATTTAATTTTATTGATTGATTACCTAAGCAGCCCAGGCTAGGGGTTGAAAGACACATATGTATTGTTTTCTTTGAAAAAATGGTTACTTGCATTGTTATGAAAATATTCTACATTTTTTTTTTGAAAGGCTGTCTACATACCTGAGTTCTTTGAACAAGTTCATCTGTTGAGGATGTTGTAAGATGCATGTGTTTCATCTCTTGCATAACTCTTCCCCGTGTTTTTCAAGTCTTTTAATGAGAGACTCTTAATAATTTTGGTCAGATTTTTCTTGAAGATAATTTTTTCTCAAACAAGACAAAGCTATCTTAATTTATTTGCCAGTCTAATGAAGGGATTGTTTGTTTTGGTATCAAATATGTGATAGCAGATTGTTCTTCAAATGTTTTCTTGGATGCTTTCTGATGTTTAGCTCCTAATATTAATTGCATGAGTCCAATGATGCTTGAAGAATGTGCTTGTTCTTATTACTAAGATAATAACATTGTTAGCTTGTCCTGTCTCTCCCCCCCCCCTTTTAACACTTGAAATTGAAGAAAAAACCTGCCGCTCTTTAATTTAAATCCTGTTTTCTTACTTTTCATTAGGGAGGATAAAAATGATTCAAAGATAGGGATGCCTTGTGTGATTTCCCTTTAAATAAGTATGGCAAGCAATTAAAGTCAAAAGCTTGTCATGCCAGATTGAAAACAATGTGCCAGCACTCAAAGGTATTGCACACCAGTAGTTAAGCAGGCTTGATTATATTTTGTTTTCTTGGAAGTGTCAGGCATTGCTTAACTTTAATATCTTTACATTATTCTCATAATCTTTAGTTCGTGGGGAAAAAACTTAGTGTCCAGTACTCCAAAGCTTTTATTCAGAACACTCATATGTCATTAGCTTTCTGCATATTGACTTGATGGGCAATTTATGATTCATGGGGCAGAATGAACCCAGCGGATCTTATGATTTTTAAAAACAGAGTAGAGATTTCACTGATTTAGTCTGGCTCAGGGGTATCAAAATGCCGGCCTGTGGGCAGGATGCATCATAGCAAAACCACGCCCACCCCATTGCCGGCAATGGCAAAAAAGTCATGATACATCACGACATGTCACGTGACATTGCGAGTTTGACACCCCTGGTCTAGCTTAATCTACACCTTTACAGCTAACCTGCTTAGCAAAACAAATATCACTTGGTATTGCTGAAAGACTCAAAAAGCAAGTGAATTTCCCTTTCAGATGTTATTGATCAAAACCTGATAGTCTGCAATGCTAAGATTATTGATGATTTTGGGGGGGGGGAGTTAATGAGCTGATGGTAGCAGAATATGTTTGCAGCTCTCTTGATGAAGGAAATCACCTGAACTTTTTCATTCAGGATACTGCTTCCAGGTTTGGTATGGAGGCAACAATTGCCACTCTCTTAGAAGACCTTTGTCAGGACTTGGATGGTGGTAATGTATCCCTCCTGGTTTACTGGACCCAGCAGCAGTTTTTGATACTCCAACTAGTATGCTATTTGTGACCCTACCTGCAGCAGGAGGGCCTAAATAGAGCTTATCACCATCCAGATGGATTGAAGGACTATAATGCACTCTTGGGCCTTAAAGACTACTTTAAGTTGGTCCAAAGTTGGTCTAAAACGCAGCAGGCTGTATACTTCCTATCTTCCAGTATCATCAGCAAATAAGACCAGTTTTGCCAATAGTTTTCCAGATACAATTTAAGATGCTAGTTTCAACTTACAAAGCCCTTTAATATTTGGTACCCAATATCTGTATGATCACCTACTCCCACCAATACTGGCCCGGCTGATCAGATAAAAAGAGAGTGATTGTTATTTATCACACATTTTTGAGAATGGGAGGGCTCTGCCTTTCTGTGACAGCACCAACACTGTGGAACAGCTTTCCAGTAGAGATCAGGTTAACCCCCTCCCAGTTGACATTTTGGAAGCTACTAAAGATAGAATTGTTCCAGTGATCCTTCCCCTGATTTTATCATGCCCTTGGAACCTACTATTTTTATTATTTTCATTCTTATATTTGGTACAGTTTTATTGTTCTTAGAAGTTGTGCTATGGGTGTTTTAACTGGTTTGTGTAAGCCACCAAATGTTTTGATCAAGGCAGAATAGAAATAAGAACAATAAGTAAATATGTTTACATTTTGATTATTGTTTTTCTTTATTTCTGCAACAGTAAAGAATGAATTTCCTTCTTAGGACTATTTTTGAAAGAAAGAATATTTGTGTATCTGACATTGGAGAGAAATAAAATCAGCTATTGGTTGTGGATGTAGGGATAGCTGTGTTTCATTTTAAGCTATGAATTATTTGTTAGTGTAACAGCATTAATTATTTATAATAGCTCTAATATGCTATTAGTTTTGAATGATGCTGAAAATAGTTTTCCAGTCATTAGCCGATCTTGAGTAGCCATTGTTTTAGTTCATTATTTTTGTCATTGGAAAAGTGGAATGTAAAACAGTGTTCATCATATGTCCAGTAGGTGGCAGTAGGTGACGTAAGATGTACTCCATTAACAAAATACTTCGGGTATAATGAGAGCCTGATATGATATGAAATGTACTGCCTGCAGTCTTGTATGAATTTTTTTTAAAAAAAAAAAATAGCACAGAGGGAAAGTTTAAGTGCAAATAAAAGCTTTTTCAGTAATTACTAGTAACATGAGGATATCAAGTCTCTTCTCCCTGCATGATGCAAAGGTAATACAGTGATAGTACAATTGACGTATTTAATAGTACAAGAAATTAGAACCTGTAATTTGTTAATTTAATATTGTTTCTGAAAATGCAGGTGTCTCCTTAAACCGAAGTTTCTTTTTGTTGTTAACAGCAATGTCATTGATAACAAAATATTGATTACTTTAGCCAGAGTACTCTTTTGACCATCACAATGGTAGAATCATTGAGTGTTCTTCTCTAGCACAGAAATCAATCTTAAAGCATTGTTCTTTATTCAAACATTATCGCATGGTTACTTAGATGATGTCATTTGAACTATTCTTTTTATAGAGAGAACTGTCCCATCTATCTCATCTTATCTGCCCTGGTAAAGTCCATATAATGGAGTCTTGTCTGCATCGGCCAATTTTTACCTTAAAACACTCATCAACCCAATTTTATTGGTAGCAAGTGATATG